TCAGCTCAGAAGGCTGTCTGAGATAAGAGCCCTTGCCATCCAAACTGAAGAAACATTAGCTTTCAAAACCCAGGCCTGGGAGGAACCCACACATGAGCAGTTGGTTGGAAAACTGGCCTATCTACTAGCCTCCTAAGACTGCGGGTGATGTGTAAACTGAAAAGTGAGCTGTTATGTTGTATAACTGAGCCTTGTAAAGTTATTTCTCTAACAGATTTTCTTGCCTTTCATTTGAGAAGCCCGAGCAGCCTAGCGGGCACAAGAAACACCACATTCTTTTTGTTTTGTTTTTTTTTCCTCCTAAAATTAACTGAGTGTCCCATCTCCAGGGCTGGTGGAAAATGAAATCTGTCTTCTGAGGGGCTCCCTCCCGCCCTCCCCCAACCCTGTAGACATTGTGTAGTTAGGGCAACAGATTCAGGGCTGAGAGCCAGAAATCACCCCCCACCATCACCAGAGAGGGAGCTGGGTGAGGCCAGCGACTGTGCAATGTGCACGGTCAGTGCCCGGCACACAGTAGATGCACAAGAAATCATTGTTGAAAGTTGAGTGAGTGGTCTTTAGTTCGGTGCTCACAGTCTTTGCCCAAACATACAAGGTGTCTTGAAGAGAGGGACAAAAGGAGCCTTGGCCAGCCAGGCCAGGGTCCGGCGTCCCCAGGCACATAGGAGTTTCCTCCCAGGGAGGAGTGCTTGGCTTCCACTTGTTCTGGGACATTCCACCACTTTCCCAATTCCAGAAAGTACTCTCTATTCAACCAGGCACTACTCCCCATACCATAATTCCCCCAAGTTCCATTGTTCTTTCTGGAAAGAACTTTTCTTAACAAGAAAGGCCTCTTTCTCAGCCTCACGCCTCAGAGTGGGAGCGAGGGAAGCCCACTGACCCCAGGGCTGGCCCACTGCTCTGTTCCCCAAGGGTGGGGGAGGGGAGGGGAGGGATCTGATTCTTTCAGATTGATCTTCTCCAGCGGCGAAACAGCATGCATGTTTGCATCTCAGATTTTCCAGCTCAAAGTTGCAGGCTCTAATGCGAGGGGTGGGGGGCAGGGAGCAGCCCAGAGGATGGAGCTGACTTCCTGCAAGGAAACCTGGACGTCCTGGGCTTCCTGCGGAGCACCCTGCCTGCAGCTCACAGAGCAGAGAAGGGCAAGTGCATGAAACAGCACAATGACAACACACACCAGAACGTGGGTCTGCACTAAAACAGCTCCTGCCGACAGGGGTACGGCTGCCTGAGAACTCTCCACCGTAGTCTCGGGAAAGCAACTTGGGAGAGGGCAGACGACCCCTCTTTCTGGCAAAGAACAAACCTCCTTGGGGCTCCTTCCTAGTACATGCAGATCCCTACCTGTCCGCTTTAGGCAAAGATGAACAAGACTCAGGCCCCAGTAAGCACCAGGCAAAACCACGTATATGGGGCACTTACTGGATACCAAGTGCAGTGTCAAGCACTTTTCATGATCATCTCATTTAGTCCTCCCGACTGCCCTTTGAGATGGGTATGGACACCCTCACTTTACAGATGAGAAAACAGAGAGGCATGCTTTCCACAGGAGTGATGCTGTGGCAGTCATGACACAAATATACTTGATGCCATTGCTCACACTTGTAATTACCATGTCCTACTGTTCCCTCCAATTCACAGTTGGAAAGGATAAGGGCAGAGCAGGACAGAGATGCTGTGGTGGAAATTCAGAGGAATTCATGACCAGCCTGGAAATCTGGGAAGACTTCACTGAGGAGGAGCCTGAATTTGAAGGACACGGGTAAGGATGGGGGACTGTCACAGATGGAGTCCGTGAAAAGGACATTCCAGGAGGAGCAGAGGCTTAAAGGTGGGGAAAATGGGGAGGGTTCTGGGTACTTGAAGCCTGCCTCTTAAGCTCATGTATTGAGGAAGTGGGGAAGTGAGGGAGAGAGGAGATAAGGCAGAAGTGGAGCAGGTTCATTCCAGAAAGAACAGAGGGCAGCCCCTAGAAGGACTGTTTCAACTCAAACCCAGACTGAAAACTGGCTAGGGACTTCCCTGGTGGTCCAGTAGTTAAGACTCTACTCTCAATGCAGGGAGCTCAGATTTAATCCCCGGTCGAAGAGTTGGCATGCCTCAACTAAAGATCCTGCAATGAAGATCAAAGAATAAGTAAGTAGATATTTAAAAAAAAAAAAGAAAGAAAGAAAATGGCTAAACTATTTGGAAGCATTTTTTTTCCTGCTTCTAACCAGATTTTATTGTTGTTGTTCAGTCACTAAGTCATATCCGACTCTTTGCGACTCCATGGACTGCAGCACGACAGGCCTCCCTGTCCATCACCAACTCCCAGAGTTTACCCAAACTCATATCCATTGAGTTGGTGATGCCATCCAACCATCTCCGTCTGTCATCCTCTTCTCCTCCTGCCTTCAATCTTTGCCAGTATCAGGGTCTTTTCTAATGAGTCAGCTTTTTGCATCAGGTGGCCAAAGTATTGGAGCTTCAATTTCAGAATCAGTCCTTCCAATGAATATTCAGGGTTGATTTCCTTTAGGATCAACTGGTTTGATCTCCTTGCTGTCCAAAGGACTCTTAAGAGAGAAGTCTGATTACTTACAGACTAAAGAGATTACGTTTTCTCTGCTCATTCAAGACCCAGTTGAGGAAACTTTCCATTACACATAGTACTGAGATTCTGGGTAAGATTGTATTTTTGTTTAAAAGCTTCACTATTAAAAATATTTTTTCATCTATTTTTAATGGCCTAAGTTGTTCACCTCCTTCACTGAGTGAGGAGTCAGTGGCCTAGAGAGGCCCTGGAAGTCACCTGAGGCTACACAGCCGTGGGCGGCAGGGTCTAGAGCCAGCCTGGGCCCAGGGTTGCCTGTGCTCCTTCCATAGGCCAATGCCAGCTTGGTTTGGAGCTGCTGTGGTCTGGGGAAAGAAGGAGATGGGCCAAGGGCTCAGTGCTTACTATGATCCAGCATGAGGGCTCCTAGAAACCCGCCTTCTGGAAGCCCCAAATGACTCTGATGTGGGCTTGACAAGGGTTAAGCCTGAGACCAGGCCCCAGGCAATGCCCTCACAGACCCTTCCCTGCTCCTCTCAGCAGTCTCCTCGCCACACCCCCAGGAGCCACACCTGGCTCAGTCATTCCTCCACCAAGTGAAGCCAGCCTAACACAGTCTCCACTGAGCACTGGATATGGAGTCAGAATCTGGGCTTCATCCCAGCTGAGCATCTTCCTAGATGATCAGCCCTGCACTGAGCCTGTCACCTCTCTGCCTTCTTCAGCTGTTAAAAAAAAAAACAAAACAGAGCAGAAACTCTCTACATGTAAGAAAAGGCATGGGAGTACACAGGCCCTGCAAGCACGCGCATTGCTCCTCGGAAAAAATTCAAACCCAGCTCTGGAGTCAGGCTGCCCAGGATTGAATCCTTCCATGTGTTGGGTAAATTTGGGTAAGTAGCTTAATTTCTCTATGCCTCAGTTTCCTCATCTGTAAAACAGGGATAATAGAACCTACAGCCATAGACTAGTTGTGAGAAAATTAAGATAATATAGGTTGAGAGTTTAGGATGGTGCTTGATACATAGTAGTAAAATGAAGTTGCTCAGTCATGTGCGACTTTTTGCGACCCCATGGACTGTCCATGGGATTCTCTAGGCAAGAATACTGGAGTGGGTTGCCACTTCCTTCTTCAGGAGATCTTCCCGACCCAGGGATTGAACCTGGGTCTCCCGCATTGTAAGCAGATGCTTTACTGAGTGCTCAATAAAAATTAGCTTTTGTTGTTATTTCTCCTTGAGTCTTGGTTGATCCCAAACTCCCCACCAAGTAAGTGATACACACTTGGAAGATATAGACATTATCTACTTGAGAGCCTAGCCTGGTACCAAGGGCAGATGTGTAAGAGTGGGGTGGGGGAATTAATACACAATCCAGGAAGTATTACTAGTTATAAAAGTGGCACATACAATTCATTGGAGCCCCTCCCCACCCCCAAAGCACTGTCTTCCAGCAGTCAGGGACTAGTGAATGAATCTCTGAATGATACATATTCGTCTGTTTGATGTTCAGCAATAATGAGCTTGTATACAGGGTGAGTCAACCAAGCCTGGTTCATGGTCTGTGCCTCATATATAGCCATACAATTCCAGAGGCACAGAATCAACGATCGTAGAAATTCAGTCATTCAACAAACATTAATTGGGTGGCCTGGCAACCTACTGATTCATGAGTTGGAAGTGGGTAAAATATTATTTAGAAGCTACACGTGCAGGCAGGTAACTTAATATTATTGAAAACATGTTCCCTAAGCACCTGTCCTCTGATCTTGAGCAAACTATACTTATATGACCTTATTATGAATTAACGAGGGCCAACAAAGAATCTGACTGCCAAAGCATGAGACCTGGGTTCGATCCCTGGGTCAGGAATATCCCCTGGAGAAGGGAATGGCAACCCACTGCAGTATTCTTGCCTGGAGAATCCCATGGACAGAGGAACCTGGCGGGCTACAGTCCTTAGGGTCGCAAAGAGTCGGATACGACTGAAGTGACTTAGCCATTTCAATAGCACAGCCAATCTTTCAGAAGACTTCAATTTGCAGTTTTGGTCAAGAGTCAGCCTTCACAAACGAAGACTTGTCTTTCTGGGTTGGGCTAACTCCTTTGCTAGTTAAGAGGTTTCTGTGTCTTTAAAAGGAGGCGGTACCCTGTCAAACGGACCCTAAAGCATAGGCTGAAGGCGCGTGAAGTCCCACCCACTTTCTGTGACGTCCTGTGGCCCAGCTGCTGATTGCTCGCTTTAGACGTCAATCGCGGGGCGTGTGTCTTGCTGGGACACAGTGGAGGTCTAACCTCTGGTTTGCGGAGCGGTCGGGTGTATTCTCCGCTCGTCCCCACGCCCTCGAGGCCCCCGCCGCTCGACCCAACGGCGGAGCCAGCCAGTGGCTCCTGCGGCGCCCTCCCGCACCGGATCGCTCCTCGCTGGAGCGGGACCTGGCCCGACGGCTCCGGTCACTATGGTCAGTGGTCTGGGGGGAAGCGGGGAAGGAGGGGTGGGAAGGGGGTGCGGTAGGCGGGGTCGCCCCCGGGGCGCATGTGCACTCGCAGGACGGGGGGTCGGGCGCGAGGTTCAGCCCCCAGTGTCAAATCCGCTGCGTTCGGGCCCCCCAAGAATTCCAGGGGGTCCCGGTCCTTTCTTGGAAGGCTCCCGTGGATGGCCAGCGATGGGGACACAACCCAGCCCCCAGGATCCCCGCCCCCGGCGCGTTCGTCCCTGGTGTCCCATGTGCCGCTCCGACGGCGGGGACAGGGAGGCTCCAGGGCTAAGGGTCGTCTCCTTTTCGTTAAGTAGCCCCCTTAGTTCGCAGCTCATGGCCGCACCCACCTGAGGGCTCAGCCATTTGAGACCTCCGCACTCCCAAGCCCCACGAGTGGATCTGGGGTTGCCACGGGTGGCCCGACATCCTCTCCATCCTGCTTGTCAACAGAAGGTCTTTGCAGTTAGGACCCACGTGGAGAGACTGTCTCAAGTTGTGAGGCACGTGAATTAGGGGTCAGAAAGGGCCCCGGAGACCTTCTGAGCCAGGCCAAACTCAGGACTTGGGCAGCCAGGGACCCTGAGGCCCAGACAAGGAGGGACTGGGACTGATTATGGTGGACTTGGATTCCCAGTCCAGTGCTCTTTGTATTACTCTGTGTGTGTGTGTTAGTTGCTCAGTCGTATCTGACTGTTTGCAACCCCATGGACTGCAGCACGCCAAGCTTCTCTGCTCGTGGAATTCTTCAGGCAAGAATACTGGAGTGGGTTGCCATTCCCTTCTCCAGGGGATCTTCCCTACCCAGGGATCGAATCTGGGTCTCCAGCATTGCAGGCAGATTCTTTATTTACCATCTGAGCCACCAGGAATTATTCCTTTGTATTATTACAGCAGTCCATCTTGGGGGTGAGGGGAGACAGGGGCACAGGCAATCTGCTGAGGACTAGGTGTGATGAATGCCTAAAACTGATCAACTCTGACCCCCCTGCTCCAGGGAGCCTGGAGAGTACAAGGACTGGTGGCTTGGCTGTGGTCACAACCCCGAGGTGTGAATCACCTCCACCCCCTGGAAACCCAAGAGGCCTTGGTTGGTCGCTTCCCCTCCCCATCAGTATTTGCACATCTGTATAATGGGCCGCTGTGAGGATCACGTGAAGTGATGCGCATGGAGTGCTTGGTTCAGATAATTGGCCATGGCTTTCCCTCTGACAACAGAATCCTGGAAATGGCTGTGCACAGGGGCCTGTTCTTGGTGCTCAGCCTCCTCCCTCCTAGGTCTGAGTAAGGAAGTGGGTCACTGACTGCTGCGGGCCGCCGCTGGCTTGGGGCACGGGTCAAAGCCTGGTCATGGTCTGACACGTTCCGAGTGTGGCGTGGGTGGCCCGGTCATCTGAGCCAGCCTGTCCTGGACAAACCAGTTGGGTGTGGCTGAGGGCTTCTGGAGCACCTGGAAACACCCACTTCCTGTTTCCAGGCAGGGCCTAAGGGTTTACCTGGCCCTGCTGCTCCTTGGAAGGGCACCGAGGTGTTTCTGCATCGCCCACAGGGAGTGGCCAGAGCTGGGGTAATAATGGGTTTAGCCACCCTGGAGCCGAGGCTGGCTTGCCTTCCAGTCACCACTGGGTAGCTGAGAGTATGGCGGGGCGGTGGGGCTGGGGCCTGATCTTCTGGCCTTCGTGGTGCACAGTGAGTCCTCTGACTCCATCCTCCCGTCTGCCCTGGACTCAGGAGAACAGAAGTTAGAGGGCAGGTAGAGTCAGAGCACCAGCCCTCGCCCTGTGACCGACGGCGTAGGTGCCTTGGAGAGGAATGAAGTGGTTAACTCACCAAACAAGACGTCTGTCTGGGAATCATGGGGAGGGGGTGGGGGCAGAGGCAGTGCAGGGTGTGTTCTTGTCTGTTCATTCAGCATTTAATGAGCACCTACTGTTTGCCAGGCACCGTGGTGTGCCCTCTGGTGATGTTTTTGAGTCTGTGTGGTGTGGATGATGATGAGTGTGTGTGTGGTGGGCAGAGGAGAATGCCTTTGGAACATAGAGTGTTTTCCTTCTGTATCCATTTCAAAGTCACTGAGCCAGGGAAGGGTCCCAGGGAGAAGACAGAGAAGCCCTTGGGACGGCAGTGGTCTGGGTGAGGACAAGGCTTGGGGGCTGCCACTGATGCAGGTTGTAGGTAGTGAGGGGTCTCATGATCACTCAAAGGGCATTTAACATTCAGTGAAGAGTGAGGGTCAGATGTGACTAGCAAACCCACAGGGCCCTTCTGTGCTTTCTTCCTTGGGTTTTCAAACAAGCCCCCAGTAGGATCCCTAGTCCAGCCCCGTGCTTGGCTGGGCGTTGATGGGAAAGACAAGGGCCTGCCCTCTTTCAGAAACTCATTGCCTGAGACAAGACAGAACTGGACACAAGCAATTCCTGAACTACCAGTCATGGCCTAAGAAGCCTAAGGGCTTGGGGAGCACAGCGGGAACCCACGCACTCTGAGGGAGCAGTGAGTGTCAAGGAAGGCTTCACAGAGGGGTCTTTTGAATGGGGTATTGAAGGATGTGTAGGAGTTTTCAAGAAGCATTTGGGGAATTGTGTATTCCACTCAGGGTGGGACAGGCCTGGAAATATGTGCTTACAGGCCTGGAAACATGGTTAAGAGTGGGATACTCTGGGAATGGTGAGCGGTCTGTATGGAGGGAGGAGAGATGAATGTACTGTAAAGGGCTTCACATCCTACACCATGGGGTTTGGGTTTTATTCTGCAAATGTGGTAGTGGGGGGACCATGATGTATTTTTGACAAATAAGAGATGGTTGATTCAGATGGTCTCTCTGGCAGTGGAGTGGACAGAGGGCCGGAAGTGGTCAGACTGGAGTCAGAGACTAGCTTATCCATCTTTTCACTCATCCACTCATTCTGCATTTTGGGAGCATTACTATGTGGCAGGCACTGGGGAATCTGGTGATGATAGGCAGGCAAAGTCCATACTCTCGTGGAGTTGACATTCTTGTGGAGGGAGATAGAAAGCAAGTCAACAAGTGAACATATGTGTTAGAGAGCCCGCTGAAGACAGAAAAGAAGTTGAGGCAGTAGGGGTTGTGGGGAGGGGCAGCTTTAGACAAGATGATCAAGGAAGGTGATTACACATGTAAAGAGGCAGAGAATCTGTCATGCACAGGAATAGCATGTGCAAAGGCCCTGTGGTAGAAATGGGTGCCTCTTGTTGGAGGAACATGAGGAGGGTCACTGGGGCTGGAGTTCAGGAGAGTGAGCGGAGCATGGCCAGATGACAGTTGTCATCCAAAGGTTGAGTCTTTTCTCAGGTGAAGGAAGCCACTGGAGGGAACTGGGGAAGGGCACGCCCTCATCTGGTCCGCTTGGTGGGAGCCTGTGCTGGATGCTGTGGATGACGGTGGGGATGGGAGCGGGAGTGGGAGCCAGGAGGTCTGTTGGGCAGACGCTGGTGCCACCTCCCTGGGGGCAGATGGTGGCAGCTCTGGCCAGACACAGGAGCAGATCTGAAGCAGGAAGAGGAGGGGAAGAGTCCTCCCATCTCTTTGGTGTGAGTTCTATCCAGATAGAGGGGCTTTCGAGGATCTGGTGACACCTGGAGGGGATGCAGGGGTGGAGAGAGAAGGCAGTTAGGGGTGCAGTAATTTGGGGATCGTGGTCAGACATCCTGGTGGCTGGTGGTGTTTGAGACTGGAGCTCTAGGGAGAGGTCAGGGTGGGAGATAAAGATCTGAGGGTCGGTTAGGAGGATGCTAAGAGTCCAGGTGTCAGATGAGAGAGGACCAGCATCTGAATCCAGGCTGTCTTCAAGGCCAGCCGATAACTGTGACCTGAGGCAGTAGGGACTCGGGTGTAGGGTCTTCCTTACTCCCTGCACTGAACAGCAGAGATGGGGCACATGAGTGGTAGGCTGAGTAACAGCGCCCCGGAGACGATCAGTAATAGCATCCTCATCCCAAAACCCATGAATAGGGTACCTCACATGGCAGCAAGGGCTTTGCAGGTATGGTAAATTAAGGGTCCTGAGATGGGGAGAGCACCTTGGGTTACCCAGGTAGGTCCAATGATGTGATCACAAGGATCCTTATAAGAGGCAAGAAGCTCAGAGTGAGGAGACATGACAGTGGGCGGAAGGGATCATAAGCTAAGAAATGCAGGCAGGTTCTAGAAACTGACAAAGGTAAGGAAGTGGGTTCTCCCCTGAGCCTCCAGAAATGTAAGATAATAAATCCTGTGGTTTTAAATCTCTATGTTTATGCCATTGGTTATAGCAGCAGTAGGAAGCCACTTCAGAGCCCTAGGACTAGCACACCCCTAAATCTTTGGCCTCCAAATGTTTTTGATCACTCATCAGTAAAAGTGTTTGATTATTCCATATGTTGGAACATCGTACATTATACCCTAAAGTAGACACTTAAAGTGGCATTCCCTGGAATATAACTCAGCCATAAAAAAGAATGAAATTGGGTCATTTGCAGTGATGTGAATAGACCTAGGGTCTGTCATACAGAGTGAAGTAAGTCAGAAAGAGGAAAACAAACATTGTATATTAACGCATATATATGAATCTAGAAAAATGGTACTGATGAACTATTTGCAGGGTAGGGATAGAAACACAGGCATAGAAAATGAACATGTGGACGTGGGGTGGTGGGGGCATAGGAGGGTGGATCAAACTGGGAGAATAGAATCGACATATATACATGTGTAGAACCAATAGCTAGTGGGAAGCTGCTCTTTAGCACAGGGAGCTCTGCTCGGTGCTCTGTGATGACTGGAGGGGGTGGGGGATGGGGTGAGGCATGGGGTTGGGGATGGGGTGGGGTATAGGAGGGAGGGGATATATGTATACATATGGCTGATTCACTTTGTTGTGCAGCAGAAACTAACACAACATTATAAAGCAACTATACTCCAATAAAAATCAGATAAAAAGGCATTTCCTTCCAGCCCCTGCAAACAGCCCGCTGTGGAGACCCCAGCG